TGTACCTTTTAACAATCTATTTTCTTTTCATGTTTACTATTCTCTTTCATTGCCTCATCTCTTTTGCCAGCATTTCACTTTTAACAATTGTTTTCATATTTTTTTTTTTGACAGGCAGAGTGGACAGTGAGAGAGAGAGAGACAGAGAGAAAGGTCTTCCTTTGCCGTTGGTTCACCCTCCAATGGCCGCCGCGGCCGGCGCGCTGCGGCTGGCGCACCGCGCTGATCCGATGGCAGGAGCCAGGAGCCAGGTGCTTATCCTGGTCTCCCATGGGGTGCAGGGCCCAAGCACCTGGGCCATCCTCCACTGCACTCCCTGGCCACAGCAGAGAGCTGGCCTGGAAGAGGGGCAACTGGGACAGAATCCGGCGCCCCGACCGGGACTAGAACCTGGTGTGCCAGCGCCGCTATGCGGAGGATTAGCCTAGTGAGCCACGGTGCCGGCCTGTTTTCATATTTTAATATCCAATAATATTTCCTCTTACTGTTCTTTTTAAGAATTTTCCTTGATCTTATCTGTTTATTTTATCATCTACTTCCACAATGTCATCTTTCTGGTAGCAGAGTGCCAGGCTCTGCTTCTGATCCAGCTTCCTGCTATGTATATCCTGGGAGGTAGCAGGTGATGCCTCAAGTGCTGTGTCCCTACCCACCCAACTGGGAGACATGGACTGAGTTCTGGGCTTTAACTTTGGCCTGGCTCAGCGCTATCTATTGTGGGTATTTGAAGAGTGAACTAGCAGATGGACTGTCTGTCTTTCATATAAGATGAAAATAAAATTTAAAATATTGGGCAGACATTATGATGTAGAATATTAAGTTGTCACTTAGAATGCCTGCATTCCATGTTGAAGTGCTAGTTTGAGTTTTAGCTACTTCACTTCTGGTCCAACGTCCTGCTAGTGCATCCTAGGAGGCAGCAGGTGATAGGTGAAGTGCTAGGGCCTCTGCCCCCCATGTGAAGACTTGGATGGAGTTCTGGACTGCTGGCTTTGGTGTGGCCCAGCTTGACTATTGCACGTATTTGTGAGAAGAGCCAGCAGATGGAAGATCTTTGTGTTTATCTCTTGCTCTGCCTTTCAAGAAGATGAGAATAAGTAAACTTTAAAAAGTAAAAAAAAATTAGAATCATATTCTTAGTTTCGTGGTGTAAATATTGTTGAGATTTAATTGAAATTGTATTCTGTGTAAATTAATTTGAGGTAAATTGGAGTCTTTATTGAGTTTTTCTCATTAAGGGACAAATATGTATCTGCAAAATTTAAAATGTGACATCATTTCTGATTTCTGCTGTATTTTGTTGTGATTGATAAGAGATGCAGAGCATTTTTGAGATGACTGGTTATGGAGACCATCTGGTTAGGGAAACCATTTCATTCAATTTAAAAAAAATTTTCATTGAATTCTTGAGTCCAGAAATGAGAGCCCTGTCCTGGGAGTTCATCTCTTGGCAGGAGCTCAGAATTTATTTTTGGTATCTGGGCAGAATTCTGTGAAAGAAGTCATGGTATCTTCTTCCCTTCTACCTAAAAGAATCATTTCTGAAAAGTGCCCTGTAGATAGAATGAAAACAAGACAGAATTGGAAGACCTTGGTAAGTCTTTTTCCTATGTGCTAGGTGGGAAAAACAAATTACTAACTTCTCAGTTGATGTCCTAACACTGGTTTTCCCCACAAAAGAAATATCATCAGCCTCAGGTTTCTCCATCAACAGTTTTGTAGATTTACCTCCAGAATAAATCTCTAACTCTTGTATTTTTCTTCATATTTACTGTTGTCTCTTGTTTCCTACCAACTCTATAGTCCAGACCTCCAAGATCTTCCAACCGTGCTACTGCTGTCACTTCGAAACTTTTCTCCCTCCTTTTCTCTTGCCCACATTTGCAATTTGTTTGCTACATAGCTGGAGTGTTTCTTCTTCTTCTTCTTCTTTTTTTTTTTTATTACAGAAATTGTCAAAGCTTAATAGAGTAGGGGCCAGTGCTGTGACATAGTAGGTAAAGCTGCCACTTGCAGTGCTGGCATCCCATATGGGTGCCAGTTTGAGTCCTGGCTGTTCCACTTCCCATCCATCTCTCTGCTAATGTGCCTGGGAAAGCAACAAAAGATGGTTCAAGTCCTTGAACCCCTACACCATGTGGGAGGCTGGGAAGAAACTCCTGGATCCTGGCTTCAGATCAGCCCAGCTCCAGCCATCTGGGGAGTGAACCAGCAGACAGAAGATCTCTCTTTATCTCTTCTTTTCTTTAACTCTACCTTTCAAATAAACAAATCATTAAAAAAAAATACAGTATTATTATTTGATGTACTTATCTGCCTTTTCAGGAATTTTCAGTAGTGGCTATTTTCCTTTTATCTTTCCACACACACTTCCCACCTGTTGTGTTATTATTTTAAGATGTATTTATTTATTTGAAAGGCAGAATTAAAGAGAGGAAGAGACAAAGCTTCCCAAATGACTGCAACAGCTGGAACTGGGCTGGTCTGAAGCCAGGAGCTTCTGGGTCTCCCATGTGGGTGCAGGGACCCAAGTACCTAGGCCATCTTCCACTACTTGCCCAGGCACATTAGCAGGGAGCTGGATCAGAGGTGGAGCAGCCATGGCTGGCGCTGCGGCTCAATAGGCTAATCCTCCACCTGCGGTGCTGGCACCCCAGGTTCTAGTTCCAGTCGGGGCGCTGGATTCTGTCCTGGTTGCTGCTCTTCCAGTCCAGCTCTCTGCTGTGGCCCGGGAGTGCAGTGGAGGATGGCCCAAGTGCTTGGACCCTACACCTGCATGGGAGACCAGGAGGAAGCACCTGGCTCCTGGCTTCGGATCAGCGCAGCACACCGGCCACAACGCGCTGCCTGTAGCGGCCACTTGGGGGGGTGAACCAATGGAAAAAGGAAGACCTTTCTGTCTGTCTGTCTGTCTCTCTCTCTCACTGTCTAACTCTTCCTGTCAAAATAAATAAATAAGTAAGTAAGTAAGTAAATGAATGGAGCAGCCAGGACTTAAACTGGTGCCCATGTGGTATACTGGTGTTGCAAGTGGCTGCTTTACCCGTTATGCCACAACACTGTCCCCCTCCCTCCAAATTATTTTGAAGCAGAGCCAGATAACATGTCATGTCATTAGTAAATATATGAGCTAAAGGTAAGGGCTCATCTAAAGAAGCTATAAGCATATGATAGTTGCTTCACTCTGTGAACATACTACAGGTTGAGTTGTATACTTCAAGTGAGTGAATTGGAGGTGCATGAATTTGTATTTCAGTGGAGCTATTAAAAAACAATATTATCCTATATTACAGTGATTTTGCTAAATCATGAAATAACAAAAGCTCACATTTCCCCAGTTATAATTTTCTTAACATTTTGACATAGTTTTTTGAACATGAATCAGATGATGTAGCTCTTTTACTGAAAACCCTTCGGTGGCTTTCTACCCTATAAAGTCCAGATTCCATATACTGGCAGACAAACTTCTGACTTGGAGAGCCGTTATGTGGCTTCTCTCTTCCTGACTATATTTTTGCCTACTAAATTACTTCTATATCAAGGCCTTTGCATTAGCTGTTTGGTCTGATGCAGTGCCCTTCCTATGTATTTTCACAGAGTTGGATCTTTCTTTTCAGCTTAAACATGGCCTATTTAGAGAGGTCTTCAGATCAAACCCTCAATCTCTAGTCTAAAGTGGTATCTCAGTCATTCTGTCACATCATTCATTTAAAAGATCTTGACCTACCATGGTTTATTTTCTTTTAAATCTTTTTTCTTATTATCTGCCTTTCCTTCTAATGCTTTCCCTATCCCCAGTTTTTTCCCATCATGTTCATTGCTGCATCCCCAGTACCTAAAATAGTTACTGGCACATAGCAGACTATGATTAAGAGATACTTACACAAAAAATTGCCAACACATGTCAGGTGCTTGCTATTTATAAAAGTTATTTGGTCTAATACTCATATATCACCTTATTCCATAAACAAAGTTCCAGTTGATAAGTTAGTTTGAAGGGACTCTTTTTTAGTTTTATGTGTAGTTTTTCTTTAGTAACTAACAGGTATTTGAAGTTAGGAGATGACTTTAGCTGTTTGATCCTTTTTTATCTTTGATCCTTCATAAAGTACCATTTCAGAACTCAATAAGTAACTATGATAAAAAAAATGTGTTTCTGTGTGTAAGGTTGAAAAACCATAATACCTTTGCAAGACTGATTCTCCATCCTCGTGTTCTCCTTTTGTCATCCTGAGTTGTGCATCATCATGCCCTTAGCTTGAGAACTGCCTCTGCTATCTGTTCTGCACTGAGGCAGCTTCAGGGTGGCTATGGTAAACTGAATAATGGTCCCCCAAAGAGGTGATTGGTTAAGTATCTTGAGATGGGGGGGATAATCCTGAATAATGCAGATAGACCCAGTGTAATCAAAAAGATCCTTATGGGAGGAGGGAGGCAGGAGGATCAGATTAAATGGAGAGAAAAGGAATGATGGGAGAAGTTGGAAGCATAGGTTGGGATGGTTGATTCTGAAGATGGAGGAAGGGCCATGAGGCAAGCAACGTAGGCAGCCACTAGATATGGAAAAACAAGGAAGTGAATTCTCCCCCAAAGCCTCCAAAGGAATACAATTTTGTCTATACCTTGATTTTAGCCAAGTGAACAGGATTTCAGATTTCTGACTTCCCAAACTATAGGTTAATCAGTTTGTGTGGTTTCAAGCCACTAAGTTTATGGTATTTGTTACAGCAAACATAGAAAACTGATATAATAGTTTGAGGCTAGAAAGACTTGAATGATCATGGAACCTCTATAGTTTTCTGAGGTTAGTCTGATTTGTTGGCTTATTAGTTACCAAAAAGGAGATCATAAAATAGTGAAGTGACAACTTTTGGTAGGTAATTTTTTGAGGAGAAGTTGTAATTGATGAAAAATGCAGGAATATTTTATGCTGCAGTTGTAGCTTCAACTTTATACTATAATTAAGTTCTTGATGACTTTTCTCTTTGTATTTTACTCAGAGCAGAAACCTCTTGACCTTGCCCAAGGTGCTGAAATGAAACACATTCTTCTTGGTAATAAGGTATGTAATAATGGATTAAACTTAAATAATAATTTTTAGAAATTTTATGTTTGAGAGGCAGAGAGAGCTGCCATCTGCTAGTTCACTCCTCAAATGGCCAGAATAGTCAAGGGGTTGGCCTGGGACCAGAGTCAGGAGCTGGAGAGAATCCAGTTCTCTCATTTGGGTGGCAGGAACCCAAAGAGCCTCATTGCTGCCTGTCAGGGTTTGCTTTGGCAGGAAGCTGGGGTCACTGGAGTTGGGTATTGAATACAGGCTCTCTCTTGATGAGGCATGGGTGTCTTAACTTCTAGGTTAAACATCCACTCCTTAGAAAAAAACTTTCAAATATTTGAAATATATAGATGCATTTTTAAATGAAAATGTGTTTTCACCAGGTCATCTACAAAGCACTGAAACGATATGAAGGCCCACTTTGGAAGGTAGGTTGGGACAGTTTTTAATTATAAAACTGGAAAGAAGTCTCAGGTGGTTCATTTCTGTTAAGACAGTTTTTCAGTTGATTCTTAACTACAAATGTTCCCCAACTTAGAATGGTTCAACTTTGGAGTTTTTGACTTTACAATCGTGCCAAAATGATACCCATTAAGTAGAATCTGTACTTAGAATTTTGATCTTTCCCTGGGTGAGCGATATATGTTACAATACTCTGGATCTCCTGTGCACAGCAGGGAGCTTTATCACCCAGTCATCCTGGCATTCAAAAGGGGAGACAACTGAGACTCTGCAATGGACTGTGTTGCCAGCGTGCTTTAGATGCGGTGTTTTCACATGTGCATTGTGTCTAGAAAGTGCCTGTCTGTGTGTGAACGTGAGGTGTTCTGCACTTCATTATAAAGTGGACTGTGTGGTGGATGATTTTGCCCAGCTGTAGGCTAATGTAAGTTAACTGAGCATATTTGAGGGAGACCAGGCTAAGCTGGGTTGGTCAGAGGATTTGGTATATTAAGCACATTTTCAGCTTTAAGATCTTTTTCAATTTACAGTGGGTTTATTGAGATGTAACCCTGATCCTTCTTGGATCCTACAATGCACTTGGACTTGCAGAGGCATCCACTCATTCTAGCCATCACTTCTATACTTAGAGTCTGATTTTCCTAGGTGATGAAGTTTATATAGACAGTAATGGGGGAATATACTTTTTTCTCAATAAACTGTGGAATTATAGCATTATTTTTATTATGAACATTGAACTTGGACTTGGGAACCCACCAGTATTTGAACTGTCAAATTGTCAAATAGGAAGCACATATAAAATTCTTCTGGTTCTACAAGTGTAAATGTGTTTTGGAGTTCAGTTATTTTCTGTAAGTAACTGTAGAGCACATAATTTCTCTGCATTTGCAAGTAGTCCCTCTATAGTTGAGGAGCATGTAGGCTTATATTGTATAAGATAAATTTAGGCTATTTCTCTTGTTTAAGACATAATTCATTCATAACTTTGAAGCCCACAACTGATATATTTTCTGTAAATAGCCATAAACAGCATTGTCAGAACCATAAGCTCTATCCATCATTGATGTTTTCAGTATGGCATTTCTAATGTTCCTGTCACCCTGTACTGTGTGGCATGTTTTTGTTCCTATACTTAGTGACTAAATTCATGTTTGATCATTTTTGAATGTGCAGGACTCCTATCTAGATAAAAGACTCAGATGTAGCTGTCATAACTTAATTACTTTTTAGCAGCCAAGTATTTGAATCTAGATGTGTCAGCCTGGGAAACCTTTCTCATTTTCCTCTTAGAGTTCAAGGTTTTTTGGATGGAGATTATTCTGGGTAGTATTAGAACACGGAGTCCTTTCATGGTATAGGAAACAGTGAGTATTACAATTCTTATTACATTTCAGTACATAAATTTTGAAAGCTGAAATTTTTCTCATGTACCTCTTTTGCTTTTGTCTTGATAATTTAATGTTTATTTTGAAGGCCTGATGCAGTCCATAACGTTTATCGCCAGGGATGCAAACACCTTACTCAAGCAGTATGCACGGTAAGTATGAGACATACATCTCCTAAACTGTGAGTCAGTTATGTAAGCAATTGCCCCAAATCATTTGTGAAATCCTTGGGCACTATGGAACGGTGTAGGAAACATTCCTGCATATTTTTGAGAGCAAGTGAAGTTGTGGAATATCTGTTTTGAAAAAAAAATTTAAAGAATAGAATCAACTTTTATTTATCTTCACAGATTGATAGAATGAGAGTTGAATCATCCAAAAGCATCTAAATGGAGGTTTTTAACACCTGGGGTGTGTATGTATTGGAACATGGGTAAATCTGGATAATGAAAGTTTTTCTGGGGTTAAAATAAAATCAAAAGCCTATGTCAAAATCAGGGGTCTTCAGGTCTCTGTATTCACTTCCAGCTATTTTACTTTGACCAAGCAGGTAAAAGAGACAGGAATCCAGGGTTGTCAGTGGACCGTAGCAGTCTCTCTGCTCTTTAGAGCTCACCATCTGCCCTTCTCTGTGTGAACACTGAGGGGACCAGTGCTACTCCCCCTGGGGAGTCATAGCCTCAGGCACCTTCCCCAGCAGTACATCTTTGTGAGACAAGGCTGACCTCTTCAATGTCATTGTGCCCTTTCCTCCTTTCACATCAGTCCAGAGGCCGAGCAAGCCTCTCTGATTTTACCTGTTCAGTGTTCTCTTGCTTTGTGTTCTTATAGCCTGGCCATTCTATTCTGTTCTGTTCCTGCCCTTGATTTATCTACTTAATACTACAGTTATAATTGGATCCTTAATTTCATTCTTGCCTTCCTTTTCTTAAAAGTTTTATTTGAGGGGCCAGCACTGTGGTGGGTAAAGCTGTCGCCTGCAGTGCTGGCATCCCACATGGGCACTGGTTCGAGTCCCGGCTGCTCTACTTTTGATCCAGCTCTCTGCTATGGCCTGGGAGATCAGTAAGAGTATGGCCCAAGCCCTTTGGCCCCTGTACCCACGTGGGAGACCCAGAGGAAGATCCTGGCTCCTTGCTTCAGAGCAGCACAGCTCTGGCCATTGTGGCCAACTGGGGAGTGAACCAGTAGATGGAAGACCTTTCCCTCCCCCTCCCCCCCAACTCACTCTGACTTTCAAATAAATAAATCTTTTTAAAAGAAATTTTATTTGAAATAGAGACAAAGAGAGCTCTTCCATCCACTGGTTCACTCCCCCAAATGCCCACAGCAGCCACGGCTGAGCCAGGTCAGGTGGAAGCTAGGATCTGAGAACTTCAGCTGGGTCTTCCATGTGAGTAGCAGGGGCTCAAGTACTTGATCCCTCACTGCTGCCTTCCAGGGTGAGCAACTCCCATTTCCCACACTGCCAGTTCTTGATAAACTCATAGAAACAGAAGGTGAAATGATGCTTAACAACTTCAGCTAATTCATGTAAGTGTGATTATTTGTCTTTTGGTGACTTAATATCTTAATATCACTTAATATAGTGTCCTCAAGATTCATTACTGTTATAGCATGTAACAAAATTTCCTCTTTAAAGGCTGCTGCTATGTGTTTACATTGCATTTTCCCTCTTTATGTTTGTTTATTTTATTGTAAAGATTTTTATTTATTTATTTATTTGAGAAGCAGAGTTACAGAGAGAGGGAGAGGCAGAGAGAAAGGTCCGTCCACTGCTTCACTCCCCATATGGCCGCTACGGCCAGAGCTGAGCCGATCTGAAGCCAGGAGCTTCTTCCAGGTCTCCCACATGGGTGCAGCAGCCCAAGCACTTGGGCCATCTTCTACTGCTTTCCCAGGCCATAGCAGAGAGCTGGATTGGAAGAGGAGCAGCCAGGACTAGAACCAGTGCTCATCTGGGATTCCGGTACCGCAAGTGGAGGCTTAACCCTCTACACCACAATGACAGCCCCTGCCCCCTTTGATGTTTATTTTCATCTACTTGAAAGGCAGAGCAATAGAGAGAAAAAGAGGCTATCTTCCATCTGCTGGTTCACTCCCCATATACCCCACAATAGTCAGGACTAGGCCAGTCTGAAGCCAGAAACTGGGAACTCCATCCTAGTCTCCCACCTGGGTGGCAAGGACCAAAGCACTTGAGTCATCATCTGCTGTCTCACAGGATACATTGGTGGGAAGCTGAATTGGAAGCAGAGTATATAGGACTTGAACTGGCACTGTGTTATGGGTTACAGGTGTTGCAAGTAGCAGCTTAACCCACTGCACCACAATGTCTGCCACCTACACCACTTTTTTATCTGTTCATTTGTCAATAGATATTTAGGTTGCTCCCACCTCTTGACTTTTGTGAGTAGGCAGTGAACATGGGTGTGCAGTTAACTCCTCAACATCCTGCTTTCATTTCTTCTGGATGTTTACCAAGAAGCACACATATGATCATATGATATTTCTATTTTACTTTGACCAAGTATCATATGATATTTCTATTTTTTAAAAATATTTATTTGAAAGGCAGAGTTACAGAGAGGCAGAGGCAGGGAACGAGAAGTCTTGAATCTGCTGGTACACTCCCCAGATGGCTGCAACAGCCAGAGCTGAGCCAGTCCTTTGCCAAGAGCTTCTTCCGGGTCTCCCATGTGGGTGCAGGAACCCAAGGACTTGGGACATCTTCCACTGCTTTCCCAGGCCATAGCAGAGAGCTGGATTGGAAGTGGAGCAGCCAAGGCCTTGAACTGACACCCATATGGGATGCTGGAACCTGCAGGTGGCAGCTTTACCTGCTACGCCACAGCACCGGCCCCGATATTTCTGTTTTTGAACTTTGAGGAACTTCCATACCACAACTGCTAGACCACTATAATTTCTCAACAACAGTACTTAAGGGTTTTAATTTCTCCATATTCTTGCCAACACTTAGTTTTTTTCTTGACAGTGGCCACCCTTATGGATATGAAGTACCATCATTGTAGTTATGATTTGCATTTTCTGAATGATTAGTGATATTGACTGTCTTTTCATATGCTTATTGGCCATTTATGTCATCTGTGGAGAAACATCTTTTTGAGTCCTTAGCCTATTTCTTAATTATGGTTTTGTTACTTATGGAAGTTCTTCAAATATTCTTGATTTTAATCCCTTTCCAGTTACATGATTTATGATTACTCTTTTCTGTTCTGCAGGTTGCCTTTCACTCTGTTGGTAGTGTTCTTTGATGTATGGTTTTTAATTTTGAGGTAGTCAAATTTACCTGTTTTGTTCATTTGTCACCGGTAGTTTTGTTGTCCTAGCCAAGAAATTATTTCCCAATCCAATGTCATAGAATGTTTTTCTCTGTTTTCATCTAAGAACTTTACAGTGTTAGCTGTTACAATTAGGCCCTTGATCCATTTTGAATTAATTTTCACATATGGTATAGAATAAGGTCCAGCTTTATTCTTCATGGCAAAGATCCCGTTTTCCCAGGCTGAAGCTCAGAACATGGAAACTCAATCTGGGTCTCCCATGTATGTGGCAGGGACTCAACCATTTAAGCAATCATCTGCTGCCTCCCGAGTTGAACATTAGCAACAATATTGCATTGGAAGCAGAGCTGGTGCTTGAACCCAGGCTCTTCTGTATAGGATACAGTTGTCCCAAGCAATGGCTTAACCCACTCTGTCACAATGCCTGTCCCTACCCCCTGTTTTCTAATTAACTCCACTGTGATTGGAGAACATATGAAGGGCCTTCAGAAATTAATGGAAAATGGGTACTATGAGGTAATTATGCATATATTTCAAATTTTTGGCACTAAAATAAACTTACCTTTTGATTCCATTTTCCATGAACTTTTGGAAGTTTCCATGAGTATTATTTAGTATTTGCATAATGCCCTACAATCTTCCTAAACTCATTAATTATTTGCAGGCCTCAGGATTTCTTACGTACATAATCATGTCTGCAAATAAGGGTTGTTACATTTAGTTCCCATCTTTAGGCCTTTTCTTTCTCTCTCTGTGTGTGTGTGTGTGTGTTTTAAGATGTATTCATTTGAAAGGAATAGTTAGAGAGAGCTTCCATCCACTGGTTTGCTCTGCAAATGGCCCCAACGGCCAGGGCTGAGCCAATCTGAAGCCAGGAGCTAGGAGTTTCTTCCGGGTCTCCCACACGGGTACAGGGGCCCAAGGACTTAGACCATTTTCTGCTGTTTTCCCAGGTACATTAGCAGGGAGCTGGATTGGAAGAGGAGCAGCTGGGACTTGAACTGGCACCCATATGGGATGCTGGCTCTGCGAGGCAGTGGCTTTACCCACTAGGCCACAGCACTGGCTCAAGGCATTTTCTTTCTTATCCTTGCTTTATTGTACTGGATAGGACCTACAAAAGAGTTGTAAATATAATCTCTTTGAGTTGACATCCTCAGTTTGTTTCTTATGTTAAATACAACACATTCAGGCATTCACAATTGAATTATTAGCTATAGATTTTTATAGATGCCCTTAGTCTGGTTGAAATTCTATTCATTTCCTAGTTTACTAAGTGCTTTCATTATGAAAAACTATTGAATTTTGTCAAGTGCTTTTCTCATATTATAGAAATGACCATGTGATATTTCTCATTTATTCTACCAATATAGTGAATTAGGTTGATAGGCTTTAGGGTGGCAATAAACTAATATTACCCAAATCTCACTTGGTCTTGATGTTACCCTTTTAATATATATTTTGCTAATTAACATTAAGGAATTTTATATCTGTGTTCATGATGGATATTGGTTTAGTTTCTTGGGATGTTTTGTCTGGCTTTCAGATCAGAGTAAAGCTAGCCTAGTGTTCATTCCTCCTCAGTTTTTTAGAAGAGTTTGTGTAGGCTTAGGCTTGTTTCTTCCTATAATGCTTTAATTAATTCACCAGCAACACAACAAAAGTCAGGAAGATTTTTTTTTTTTTGTCAAAAGAGTTATAATTACCAATTTTTTATTTAATTTAATTTTATTTTTTGACAAGCAGAGTGGACAGTGAGAGAGAGAGACAGAGAGACAGGTCTTCCTTTTGCTGTTGGTTCACCCTCCAATGGCCGCCGCGGCCGGCGCACCGTGCTGATCCGATGGCAGGAGCCAGGTACTTATCCTGGTCTCCCATGGGGTGCAGGGCCCAAGCACTTGGGCCATCCTCCACTGCACTCCCTGGCCACAGCAGAGAGCTGGCCTGGAAGAGGGGCAACCGGGACAGAATCCGGCGCCCCGACCGGGACTAGAACCCCGTGTGCCGGCGCCGCAAGGTGGAGGATTAGCCTAGTGAGCCGCGGCGCCGGCCTATAATTACAAATTTAATCTCTTCAGTTACTATAGAATTGTTCAAATTTATTATTTTTTGTGGGAGTTTTTGGAATAATTTTGCTTTTTAAGAAGTTTGTTCATTTTTTCTAGTTTGTCAAATTTTTAAAAAGATTTATTTATTTCAAAGGTAAAATTACAGAAAAAGAGAGGGAGAGACACAGAGGTCTTCTACCTGCTGGTTCACTCCCCAAATGGCCTCAAAGACCAGAGCTGGGCCAGGCTGATGCCTGGAGCTTCTTCCAGGTCTCCAATGTGCGTGCAGGGTCCCAAGTACTTCTTCTACTACTTTCCTGGGAACATTAACAGGGAGCTGGATCTGAAAAAGAGCAGCCGGGATTTGAATCTGCACTCACATGGGATGCAGGTATCAGTTGGCAGCTTAACCCCATGCACCATAACACTAGCTACTTGAGTTTATATTCTTAGTTGAGACTTATTGTCTTGACCAATACAGACATTTAAAGCTCACTTTCCCACCTTCTAGGTGTTTTTATTTCATCTTACTAATTTTATGTTTTATTTTCATTATCATTCACTTCAAAATATTTTTTAATTTATACAGGATTTTTTTTTCCTTTGAATCAAATAATACTGACATCTGTTGTATAACTAGGAATTTCCTGGTTACCTTATTTTCGATTTATAATATTCCATTTTTGTCATTGAACGTATTCTTATGTGCTTTTCCTTTTGCTGAGTATTGAGATTTGTCTGATGGCTCTACTTATGTATTATCCCTAGACAATGCACTTGAAAAATAAGGTGTATTTTTCTATTACTGGGTGTAGTTTTCTACAAATACTGATTTTGTTGTGGTTGTTAATAATGTAGTTCATAGCTTCTATTTCTTTTCTGGCTTTTGGCCAATTTTATCAAGTGCTGAGGAAGAGATGTTATAACTTCTGATTATACTTGTAGAATTGTTCTTTTATTGATCGCATATATTTTTATGTTGTTATCTTCCTGATTATTTGACCTTTTTATCACTATGTAGTGGCCCTCTTTATTTCTTATATTTTGTTTTGAAATCAATTTTGTCTGATATTAATATAATAATTCTGGCCTTTTTATGCTGTTTGTTCAGTGTCTCCATTTACTTTCAGTCTATCTGTGACTTTGTATTTATTTCCTGTTTCTCTTGCAGGTAGCATATATTTTAATCCATATTATTCATTTTGATAATTTTTGCCTTTTGGTTAGATTTGCTTGTGTGTGTGTTCTACTTCATGAATCAGGTAATTTTGGATTGTATCCTCAATATTATGAATATTAAGTTCTGGAGAGTGTCATTTTCCCATTATTTGTTTTGTTTTAGATAGCTGTTTTCTTGGTTTGGATTGTAAACTGTCTGGCTTAGAGCAGCTCTGGTCTCAGTTTAGATAGATTGTGTTTGTGCGAGCAGCTTTGAATCTTATCTGTTATGTATGGCTCATGGGTTAGAAATGTCAGTACAAAGGCTATCAGAACTTCTTGTCTGTATCTTTCCAATGGGGGATTTTTCATTCTCCTTAGTGATTGTGAATCACCCCCAGCTTTGCTTTATTAATAATATAAATACAGGGGTAGGTATTGTGCGATGAATTAAGCTCTTGCTTGGAATGCCCACATCCCCTATTGGAGTGCCTGGGAATCTATCTCATCCCCACTTCTGATCCAGCTTCCTGCTAATGTGCCCGGGAGATCTAGATGGAGTTCCAGGCTGCTTGCTTTGGTCTAGCCTAACCACAGCGGTTGTGGGCATTTAAGAGAATGAACCAGCAGATGAAAGATTCTGTCTTCCTGTCTCACTTTAACCTACATTGAAAGTGGAGCAGCCACGACTCTAACCAGGGCTTGTATGTGGGATGCTTGTATTACAGTCAGTGGCTTAACTCACTGTGCCACAACACCAACCCTGAAAAATTGTTTTTGGTTTTTCCTTCTTCCATTTCTTCTCTTACTACTCATTCTTCCACAGTCAGCTCAAATATTGTTCATATTCATCTTAAACACAATGTGTAGGGGAGTGGTATGAATAGAAACATGGAGCTTGGCATAGAAAGGATTTTACAGTCTCAGTATATATTAAGTTATACTTAATAGGGTAAAGCCAAAATTATGTACCTAATGAGTTATAACCATAAAACAAAACAGCTTTCTAAAAGAAAACAAATGACATCAAACAGGAAAATGACAGACTTTCCAGAACTTAATATTCATAATATTGAGGATGCAATCCAGAATTACCTGATTCATGAAGTAGAACACACACACACAAACAAATCTAACCAAAAGGCAAAAATTATCAAAATGAATAGTATGGATTAAAATATATGCTATACCTAATGAACTTTGAGTCACTAGGAATGGGAAATCGAGATTTGACACAGGTAGGTCATAGTGCATTTCATACTCCCATTATATCAACTTTTTTTTTCTGGTTTTCATCAATCACTATTTTAACTTTTGTTCAATTGGATATTATTAGTCATGTTAGTACTTTAGCCTTTGTATATAATTTGAGAGTCCTCTTTTATGTGAGTGAATATTATCTTACTGACTTTGTATCCAAGGTAAAATCTACCGATAGCTGCCTCTTCTTTATTAAGTGCTTTGATGACACCATTCACAGCTTCCGGGTTCCTAAGAATAGCCTTCAGCAGTCAAGACAGGTAAGCTCCTGGATTCGTTTATCTGTCATAAAACTTAACATGTAAAGACATAGACAACATGACATAGGTTCAATGTTAACACCTAAGATCTTGTTGATTGTTCTTTTTAATGAGAGCAATTATAGGAAACTTTGCAAATTTGGCTTATGGATTAGTTCTTTATCAACATATAATTTGTAATTTTTTGTTTCAATCCTCTGAATGTTAGAGACCCCTATTGGTTTTGGAAGAAAAGCTAAGGGATTATTTAGTCTACCCTTTAATTGATAGGTGAGGAAATGGGAAACTATGGTTGAAATGATCTCCCAAGGCTATGGAGCTTGTTAGTGACAGGACCTGGACTGTATCCAACTGTTTTAATACTTACTACAGTATAGTCTCAGCTTCCCTTCACTCTCAATTGGACAACAGCACCAAACAAGAAAATTGGGATTCAGTTCACGGAAATTCATGATACAGCTATTTAACGGAGAATTCATGTCCCTTCAAATCAAAGCAGTATTCATCATTCTGTCTTGTATTTTGTTTTTGTTTTTGTAAATCTTAGAAGGGATTAAATAATCTGTTTTCCAAAGTGGTTAATTTTGGTCCTGCAAAGCAGTTCAATGTATGACTTTGCCAGTATTCATTAAATGGAAAGATTTGACCTTGAGTAATGCTGTAAGAAAATAAGGAAGAATTAAGAGAGGTATTTTTTTTTTTTTGGCTAAACATATCTTTTTTGAGAAACCAGAGATTTGTATAAGCCACAGTAAATTTCATTAGGGCAGTTTGGTATCTTAAAATGGGTTGAATTTCTTGTGCTTATATGATTACAGGTTAGTAAAATGGTGTATATGAATCCATTATTATATAGCAACTGTTTAGCAGTGTTGAGAACCTATAATTCTAATTAAAAAAAATGGTTTTCATATTTCCTTAACTCCTGGGACTGTTTCAGGCTTGGATGGAAGCAATAGAAGAGCATTCTGCCTACAGCACTCACTACTGCTCCCAGGACCAGGTGACTGATGATGATGAGGAAGATGCTGTTTCTGCTATAGATTTGAGGGACTACTTAGAGGTGAGACAGTGCCACTGGCCTTATGGCTGACCATGTCGTGCAAGTTTTACAAGATTCTGCATGTCTTGAACCTTCTTGAAGTTAGAAGGGGCGTGGCCTAATGTAAGAAAATGGCAAGGATTTTTGGTGGTAGATTTATGTAAAATTTCAAGGATGCTGAATTTTAGAGAAATCTAATAAATCTGGGAGTTGTTCCTTTGTATTCTATGAAGCTGAATAAAATTTCTTGGGGATACTAGCTGTTTTATGAAAGTATCAAGAGACTGAATCAGTAACTACCGTGCAAATTTGATAAAAAGAAAAATGTTTTTAAAAGATGCAAGGTTTTGAAATTATGATTCCTGACAGCAATGGAAATAGTGTTGCTCTTTGTCTAGGCATATTCTATTTCTGTTTGTAATGTTTCTTTTGTGATGATAATATTAAATGTCCCTGAAGATTGGCTGTAAGGATGTGGACATGTGCCTATAGTGTGTGTGTGTGTGTGAGAGACCTGTTTTACACTGCTCCACTCAGATTGTCATTCTAATAAAAGTGCTGCCAGTAGGGGGAGCATGCATTGCTTGACTTGCTGCCCTTTATGACTTCACTGCATAGTTTAGTGTAAATAATGCAATCATAGTGATGCATTTACTGGCCAGTAGTTTCATTTAAAACCGCTTGTAACCTGTAGCTCCAGGTTGCTTAGAGGTAAGGTAAAGTGTCAGTAATGAGCGGAGAGGATCTCATCTGAAGTGACATCATGCCTTGTCCATAGAGAAATATGAGAATGTATAATTTAAGTGAAATAGGTATTCTTTTGGGGAAGAGAGACCTTAGTTTTCTAGCTGTGCCTCATAAATGTTCCTTGTTGGAAAATAATGGGAATTGGGATTGAAAGAATTTGAACTATGAAAGAATGTTGAGTTTCAAATAACTATGTAAAACATATATATTTGCTTACTTACTAAATTTCATCACTTTTACATAAAAATTGAATGAATTGCAGTATTTGAATGCTCTTAAATCAACTTGAATGAAGTTAAATATGCTTTATCTATGGAGTTTATTGACTTATGGACCTATAAATTGACTTATGGAAAACATTTTGACTTTTTGAATCTGTAATCTTAATTTATGATGAAACAAAGAATCTGAACTGTTTTGTTAGTTTTAAACAGATTCAATGTACTTTGTAGATACAATTCTTTTTGTTTTTTTTTTATTTTTTGTTTTTTTTTTTTCTATTTTTTTTTATTTTTTATTTTTTGACAGGCAGAGTGGACAGTGAGAGAGAGAGACAGAGAGAAAGGTCTTCCTTTGCCGTTGGTTCACCCTCCAATGGCCGCCGCGGCCGGCGCGCTGTGGCCGGCACACCGCGCTGATCCGATGGCAGGAGCCAGGAGCCAGGTGCTTTTCCTGGTCTCCCATGGGGTGCAGGGCCCAAGCACCTGGGCCATCCTCCACTGCACTCCCTGGCCACAGCAGAGAGCTGGCCTGGAAGAGGGGCAACCGGGACAGAATCCGGCGCCCCAACCGGGACTAGAACCCGGTGTGCCGGCGCCGCTAGGCGGAGGATTAGCCTAGTGAGCCGCGGCGCCGGCCTTGTAGATACAATTCTAAGAATATAATGGGGCCCAGTGCTGTGGTGCAGTGGGTTAAGTTGCTGTTTGCAGAGATGGCTTCCCATATGGACACCAGTTCAAGTCCTGGCTGCTCTGCTTCCCATCAGCTATCTGCTAATGTGCCTGGGAAAGCAGGGGAAAATGGGTCAAGTGCTTGGGTTCCTGCACCTATGTGGGAGATCTGGAGAAAGTTCCTGGCTCCTGGCTTTGGGCTGGCACAGCCCTAACTGTTGTGGCCATTCAGGGAGTAAAATAGTGGGTGAAAGATCTCTCTATGCCTATCTTCTCTCTCTAACTCTGACTTTCAAATAAGTAATTAATCTCTAAACAAAAAAAAAAGAATATAATGACTTTCCTCCCTCTCCCCCCTTTTGTTTTCTTTCTTCCATTCCCTCCCCTTTTCTCTTCCTCCCCCCCTTTCATTTTTGAGATAGCATATTTTTAATTATATTACAGTCAAGGGCCTAATGCTTTACCAAATAAGTTTAACAAGTGAAAGGCAAAAAAGACCCTAGTTTAGCAGGAATATAGGCAAAGGCTATAAACAATAATCTAACATAAAAACCATTTTACCCATATACAGTAAATTTTAAAGTATTGAAACTGTAGTAGTAAATCTTTTTTTTTTTTAAAGATTTGTTTATTTATTTGAAAGGCAGAGTTACAGGGAGGGGGTTGGTGGGAAGAGACAGAGATATTCTTTTTGCTGGTTCACTCCCCAAATGGCCACTTCAGCCAGAGCTGGGTGAGTCCCAAACAGAAGCCAGGAGCTTCTTCTGGGTCTCCTATGTGGGTACAGGAGCCCAAACATTTGGACCATTCCCCTTTGTTTTTCCAGTGACATTAGCAGGGAGCTGGATTGAAAGTGGAGCAGCTGGGACTCAAATTGGTGCCCATATGGGTTGCCAGTACTGCAGGTGGCGGCTTTACCCACTATGCCACAGCAACGGCCCCAGTATAACATTCCTAACCATTGGTTTGACAAGGGTATAAAACAAAGATTTATAAAGCTATATTTACATCAATACTGATACACACAGGTATTTCTTTTTTTTTTTTTTGCTTTTTTATCTTTTTTCCTTTTAAGATTTCAGCTCCCATTTATAAGGAAAAAACATGCAGGATTTGTCTGTGTGTGTCGGGCTTATTCCACTCAGCATGATGCCCTCCTGCTGCATTATTTTCATACAAATGATAGAATTTCGTTCTTTTTCTATAGTTGAATAATATCCCATTGTGTATATATATCACATCTTCTGTTCATCTTTTTTTTTTTTTGACAGGCAGAGTGGACAGTGAGAGAGAGAGACAGAGAGAAAGGTCTTCCTTTGCCATTGATTCACCCTCCAATGGCCGCCGCGGCCGGCGCGCTGTGGCCGGCGCACCCCGCTGATCCGATGGCAGGAGCCAGGAGCCAGGTGCTTTTCCTGGTCTCCCATGTGGTGCAGGGCCCAAGCACCTGGGCCATCCTCCACTGCACTCCCTGGCCACAGCAGAGAGCTGGCCTGGAAGAGAGGCAACCGGGACAGAATCCAGCGCCCCGACCGGGACTAGAACCCGGTGTGCCGGCGCCGCTAGGCGGAGGATTAGCCTAGTGAGCCGCAGCGCCGGCCGATCTTCTGTTCATCTTATGATGAATACCTTGGTTGATTCCAAGGTGAATTTGCCATTGTGAACAGTGCTGCTGTAAACATGGTGGTACAGGTATTTCTTTGATAAAACATGTTCATGTCTTTTGGGTATGTACCCAGTAGTAGGATTGCTGGGTCATTTGGCAAGTCTATTTTTAGGTTTTTTTTTTTTTTTTTTTTTAATGAAGAAATCTCCATACATTTTCCACAATGGCTACACTAATGTACATTCTCACCAACAGTTTATAAGCATTCCCCCTTCTCTACATCTTCACCAGCACTTGTTACTCTTGTCTTTTGGATTTTAGCCATTATCATAGGAATGTCTGTGATGATATCAGGTGATATCTCATTGTGGTTTTGATTTGCCAGTGATGTTGAGCATTTGTTCATATATTTGTTGGCCGTTTACATTTCTTTTTTCAAGAACTGTCTGTTGAGGTTCTTTGCCCATTTCAGAACTGGATTGGTTTTTTTTTTATTGTTCAGTTTTTAAAGTTGCTGATATATTCTGATATTAATCCTTTGTTGCATAGGTAGCTTGCAAATATTTTTCCCATTCTCTTCACTCTATTGAATCATTTCCTTTGCTATGCAGAAGCTTCTGAGTTTGATATATTCCGATTTGTTTAGTTTTGCTTTTGTTGCCTAAACTGTGGTTGTTTTGTCCAAGAAGTCATCATGTACACCAATGTCTTGGAGTGTTTCCCCTAAATTTTCTTGCAGGAACTTCATAGTCTCGGGTGTTAAATTTACATCTTTGATCCGTCTTGAGTTGATTTTTGTATATGGTGAGAGGAATGAATATAATTTCATTCATCTACATATATAAATCCAGTTTTGCCAGCACCATGTGTTGAAGATGTTATTTTTACTCCAATGTATGATGTGAGCACTTATGTTAAATTAGTTGGCTGTATGTATATGGATTAATTTGTGGGCTCTCTGTTCTGCTTCACTGACCTATGTGTCAGTAGTTATGCCATTGTCATGCTGTTTTAATTACTGTAGCTTTGTAGTATGCTTTGAAGTCAGATATTGTGACGACGCTAGCTTAATTTTTTTTTCCTTTTACTCAGGATCACCTGTCCTGGGTCTTTTGTGATTCCATATGAATTTTAGGAATTTATTTTCTAACTCTGTAAAGAAAGTCATTGGTATTTTGATAGGGATTGCATTGAAACTGTAGATGGCTTCAGGTAGTATAGACATTTTAATGATATCAATTCTTCTAATCCGTGAGCAAGGAATATCTTTCCATTTTTTTGTGTCCTTGTTGATTTCTTTCATCAATGTTTGATAATCTTCATCGTACAGATCTTTCACTTCTTTCGTTAAATTTATTCCTAAATATTTGATTGATTGATTGATTGATTGAGTGTGTGTGTGTGTGTGTGTGGCTATTGTGAATGGGATTTCTTTCTTGAGTTCTCTCAGTGACTTCATCATTAGCATATAAAAAATCTGTGTTTGTTTTGTAACCTGCAACTCTACTGAGTTGGTTTATCAGTTCTAACAGCTTTTTGATGGAGTGTTTAGAGAATCTAAGCTCTTCTCTGCTTTGTTGAAGGTAGTCACCAGAATTTGTTGATGGTTGCTTTACCATTAGTGCTTCTATTTTAAAACCTAATGTGTGAACTATAAGTTTAATTTTCAGATCAGTGAGCGTTGAGAAAGTAACATCTAGTAAAGCATATAAATAACATTAAAACTGCTTGGAAAAAGAAGGAAAGTTCACATGGATATGGCCAAAATCATGTTAAACAAGTACCAGATTAAACAGCACTAAATTAACTTTTTGGTTCATATTCCCTACTTGAGAAAGAAATCCTTCCTGTTTACCCTCAATATAAGGTATGTGATAAAACCTGGAAGGATTTACAAACTACACTGATATCTTTCCCAGGATTATGGTGATTTTAAGACTTCAAATGGAAACTACTTGTAAAATAAAAACTTCCTAACTTGCATATTGTTAAAAACTTTCTTAAAGCTTACTTTAGTATAATTAGCATGCTATCAATCTCAACTGTACCTTTCATTTTATTCCTTATTTGGATGTTTTGCTCACGTGATAACTAAAATTATGAAGTTTTCTATTTTAGACTTTATAGCTTCTGAAACAAATGACAGTTTTAGACACCGTTGACCAGACTATGGATATACTTCCATCTAATGGTTTGAATGCTAATTCTGTTAGAATTATTTTTTTTTTGAGAGGTAGGGAGACAGACACACACATGCACAACTACAATCTTGTGATTCGCTTTATAAACAGTGACCCTGAGTGGAGAACCAAACATGGGAGCCAAAGGAATTAGTCCAGGTCTCTGACTGGGTAGGGGGAATCTAGTCACTTGGGCCCATCACTCTGCCTCCAGGACTCTGCATTAGCCAGGAGCTGGAGTGGAGCCAGATCTTAAACCCAGGTACTCTGATTTGGGACATTGGTATGCTGATGTCTTAACCACAAGTCCAAAGCCCACCCCTAATTCCATGAATCTTGATTCTGGCTCAGTTTCTGAAGGCTGATCCAAAATAGGTGAAACTTGAATGAGCTTTGAATTGCATTGAATTGTAACTACAGTAGATTGGCTCCAATATACCCTTGATCCATAAGTTATAGGGAAATTTGGGACCACTTTGTGGAACAGTTCTATTCCTGATAGAGTTAAACATTCTTAAAGAAATTATATACTTTGGGACTGAAAAGCTCTAAAAACCAATTTTAATTCCTCAGTATGCTTCTGGATTAGCATTAAATGCATGCGTAAGAAACTGGAAAAATTCTGTCTTAGAAGATGACCATGCTATACTTTGGCACTTAGTTTACCTCCTCCCAAAATGAGGATCTCCAGAAACTTCAAACATTTTTTCACGATTCTCTGTCCACAAGCTAGGCTTCCATGGAGAAAAGTGTAAGTCATAAAAAGTCCGGTCTCATGATTGTTGCCTTAATGGCAACTTGGAAATATTTCAGAAATCACATTTGGAAAGAACATCACATGGAATATTGGTATAGAATTGCAGTATCCAGTATGATAGTTATGTCACATGTGACTGTCTATATTATTCTTAAATAAAAAATTGAGTTCCTTATTCTAACCAGCTGCATTTCAAGTGCTCAGTAGTACCGTGTGGCTACTGCATTGGAGACAGTAAAAATAGAGAATGTTTCCACCATCATAAAAAGTTTTATTAGCACTAGGATAGGCTCTTAGATTCTTAGGGTGGTGGTAGCGAAGCTGTGATGATATTCGTTGAGGAGACCTTGATTCTATAGGATCTGAACTGTATTTGTGTTATAAGAAGTAATGAGCAGATGCTAAATTTTAACAATTAGAAAATAATGTGGCCGGCGCCGTGGCTCACTAGGCTAATCCTCTCCCTTGCGGCGCCGGCACACCGGGTTCTAGTCCCGGTCGGGGCGCTGGATTCTGTCCCGGTTGCCCCTCTTCCAGGCCAGCTCTCTGCTGTGGCCAGGGAGTGCAGTGGAGGATGGCCCAAGTGCTTGGGCCCTGCACCCCATGGGAGACCAGGATAAGTATCTGGCTCCTGCCATCAGATCAGCGCAGTGTGCCGGCCGCAGTGCGCCAGCCGCGGCGGCCATTGGAGGGTGAACCAACGGCAAAGGATGACCTTTCTCTCTGTCTCTCTATCTACTCTGCCTGTCAAAAAAAAAAAAAAAGAAAAAAAAAGAAACTGTCCTGATTTAAGAATAATTATGCAAAAAGGTGCATGAACATCAACATGGGGCCAATAAAGACTTGTAGATCTAGATAAGAATGAGGTGGATTTTTTTTAAAGATTTTATTTATTTGAGAGGTAGAGTACAGACAGTGAGAGGAAGAGACAGAGAGAAAAGTCTTCCTTCCTTTGGTTCACTCCCCAAATAGCTGCAATGGCCAGAGCTGCGCTGATCTGAAGCCAGGAGCCAGGAGCCTCTTCCTGGTCTCCCACGTGGGTGCAGGGGCCCAAGGACTTGGGCCATCCTCTGCTGCTTTCCCAGGCCACAGCAGAGAGCTGGATCAGAAGAGGAGCACCAGGACTGGAACTGGCTTCCATATGGGATGCCGGTGCCGCAGGCGGAGGATTAACCTGTGCCATGGCGCTGGCCCCAGGTGGATTTTTTAAAAAGACTTTTTTTTATTTAAACTGCTGAATGGCAGAGAGGGAGAGGGATCTTCTGTCCACTGTTTCATTGCCTAAATGGCTGCAATGGCCAGGGCTGGGCCAGGCGGAAGCCAGGAACCTGAAACTCCATTCTGGTCTCCCCTATAAGAGGCAGAGGCTCAAGAACTTTAGCTGTTCTCTGCTTTCCCAGATGCATTAACAGGAAGTTGAATCAGAAGTGGAACAGTAGGGACTTGAACTAGCACTTCAGTACTGGATACTGCTATTGCTAGCAGCAGCTAAACCCCCTGAGCCACAATAGTGGCCATGAGGGGGATTTATTCAAACTAAAAAACTTAGGATATGTAGTGAAGGAAAAATGGCAAGCAATCATATGGTATATCCTATGTGCTACTTGGGAAGACAAAAGCTGGGATGTATGTAGACATACTTGCATAGGCTTAGATCATTTCCGGAGAGAGGAGAAATGAACACTTGCTGCTTTGGGGCTAGGAAAGGAACAAAACTGGGGAGCTCTAGGACTGATGGTATGTGAGAGGGAATTATTTTTCTGTGTAGATTCTCTTTTATTTTTAGTTGGTATAACTATGTTGCAAAACATTTTTTAAGAAAATTACAAGACAGGGCCTTAATATTCACCAGGTCCCCCAAAGAATATTTGTGCTGGGAGTTGACTAAGAGCAAGGGAAAACTGGATTAATGGGCTGACCTTGAAGTAGATTTGGCTGAAATTCGGGGAAAGTTGAGCTGAGTTCTAGGCACCAATACATGGACTTTCCTGCAGGGAGGAAAATTATCATGGTTCTACAATCCATAATTTAAAAAGTTGGAATTAATGTTACTGAGGCATAGTTTGTATACAATAAAATAAATTCACTTTATATCTTCAGTTAGATGTCTTCTGGCAAAATGGATATGACCTGTGTAATCATCACTGTTATCAAGATACAAATACAGGGGTGAAGAACCTTTTTTCTGCGAAGGGCCATATAGAATTATCAACTTAAGAATTATCCTGCTATAGATTTATTGAATTTTGAGTCCTGCCTCTGGTCCCCTTGAATTTGCAGGCCTAATGTGGCCCACTGTCCAGACGGTCTCCACCCTGATGGAGAAGATTTTTATCTCCTCCAAAGGCTGCCCGGCTTGCCTTTGCAGACGGTGCCCTCCACATTCCTCTCAGGCCACCACCTAGCTCCTGACACTGATACAATGACAATGTCATTATAGGCATTGTCCGTTTGGCTATTCTAGAATTCCATGCCAACAGAATCATATAGCAGGTGCTCTTTCATGTCCTTCACTCACTGTAATATTGAGTGTATTGGTAGTTTTTCCTTTTTATTGCTGTGTAGTAAGTAATGTATTTCTACTTAATTAACCAAATGGGGAGTTTCTACATTGTGTAGTCTGAAATTAATTACCTCGCACCTGGTGGGGGTGAGGTGGGGTGTTTGGCACATTGGTTAAGACACTGTGGTTTGGGACATCCACGTCCCATATTAGAGTGCCTCGGTTCAGCTCCTGGCCCTGCTCTCCGTCCCAGCTTCCTGTTAATGCAGTTTCCAGAAGGTAGCACATGGTGGGTGTGCATGGTTGGATCTCTGACACTCAAGTGGGAGATGCAGATTGAGCTCTTGGCTCCTCACTTTGGCCTGGCCCATCCCTGAGTGTTGTGGGCATGAGTGGGGTGAACCAGTGGATGGGAGATCTCTGTCTTTGTCTTTGTCTCTCTTTTTTGCTTTTCAAATGAATAAATTTAAAAGAAATTACCTCTTTGCTATCTGCTTCTGCACAGCTGCCTGTCCTGTTGATTTGGCATTGCCCTAAATATCAGGACAAGGAAGTTTAATATCAGCTAAAATCAACTGAACAGCTGAAACGTGGGTGGACAAGTCAGTGTGACTGAAGTTCCTTAGCTGGACGCCTTCTGACCTTCTGTGCCTCCGTTCGTTGGGCATCATTCTTGTTCTATGTGCTTTGTCCAGATAACTTGGCCAAAGTAAAAACACACTGACACTTTACAGATGAGAGTATCATTTGTAGTGGGAGCCCCACTTAGAGTAAATAAGCAGAAATCAGAACTTTAATAAAAGAGTCGCTGACATGTGTATGGCATAGAAGTCAAGAATGAAACAACTGTATTGGACTCTAAAGAATTCATAGCATTAACGTTCACAAATAATGTTTAGATTTTTATAATATAACCAAGATCTGCTAAGGAGAATTTACAGCACTCTGGGGACTCTGTTGTATTTCTTGTATTAATAATCAGTCTTTTTTCTTTTTAGTATCCACTGAATGGCACTAAGTTGTTTGGAAATGACAATAATTTGTTTAGAATAGAAGACACATGTTGTACCCAACTTGAATGTGTGGATCCAGTTTTCTCCAGCTGACATGTTATATACCTTTTAATACAAGAAGTCATCAATCAAGGAAACTTTTTTTTAGTAACTGTCAGGTAGATAAGCTAAGTGAAGATGAATGTGATTTAAGCATTTGAGGACAATGCTCTAGAGAATGTTTGCCTCTCTTAATTATAACTTCAGGCTCTACCTGTTTATTACAGCTTCACAGTCTGCAGGTGAAGCCAATGCTTGCTTTTATGCATCTAGCCAATTTTTACCATACAAAGGAAAGGAGAAAACAGTAGTGTTGACTTGCACGTGATCAGGAATATTAAATATGTATACAGCAAGGATGACGATTTTCTATTAATAAATCATGAGCAATGCATTCGGTTGCAGCGCCTGTTTCCAGGTCAACTTTTTCCCTACCTTCAACGTGTGTTCTCAGGTTACTGAAAAAATCATCAAGCATATCATTTCTCTTTCTATGGCATTTTAAATTGCGTAGTGTTAGGTAATTTCCCTCTCAGAAAGAGGAAAATAACTGAATTATATTGAGGTATTGTTAGCAATCTCAAAACAAAAAGAGAGGGTAATGCAAATTTAAAGTAGAACATTGCCTGTCACTAATGTGGTACCATGAATAATTCTGCTGTGGTTGGGCTGCGCTTCATAAGCACTGAAAAATTCATAAGGTGAAATAGGAGAAAGGGGTGCTTACCTGGGTCACCTTGGCACATGGAGCTATGGAAGGTTTAATTTGGGAGGCAAAATGTTTTATGATGGACCAGATGAGATTAAGAGTACAAAGTGGAGAAGTTTCATGAGGCTAAATGTTTTACTCTACCTACAACAATGTTATTCTAATATTTTTATTGCCATATCCAAGGATATTTACAGTATAATTTTCTTGTTTGTTCTTCCTACTTCTTTAGAGGGAAACTATATATAAAATGAACTTCAAGATTACATTGTTAATATAATAAACAGTTGTAGCTGACTCTTCATTTTGTACTTGTAAATATGCATTAAGATGGGAATGTAACCTCTACCATGATATTCTGTTATTATGTTTTTCCTTCATGGATCTAAATATGTAGAACTTGCAAACAAGGTGATTGCTTTCTATAATTTTGTTTTCATAAGCTCTTACTTACTAAGAAAATGTCTCTATTAGGTGCTAGGGTGATCTTAGATTGTAGAATGAAAATCAACTTGAAGTTTCCGAATGTTGGGATCATATGGTTTTTTTTTTTTAAACAAAAGTAGTTTTTAAAATATATTCTTTCTAAAAATGTTTATTTTCATCTCCTTGAAAGAGTGACAGAGAGTGAGAGAGAGTGAGTGAGAGATCAGTATTTCATCTACTGGTTTACTCCCCAAATGTTTGCATCAACCAGAGCTAGCCCAGGTTGAAGCCAGAATCCAAGAATTCCATCTGATTCTCCCATGTGGGTAGCAGGGACCCAAGCATTGGAGCCACAAACTACTGTCCTCCAGGATGTGTTAGCAAGAAGCTGGATCAGAAGCAGAGCAGCTAGGATGCTTGGGTTTCTAACTGGTACTCTGATATGGGGCAGCAGCTTAACTTGCTGTGCCACAATGCCCGCCATAAATTATACTATTTTTTAACCCCAAAATATTTATTTATTTATTGTTTGAAAGGCAAAGTTACAGAGAAGCAGATAGAGAGAGAGAGAGAGAGAGAGAGAGAGATTTAGTTATTCCATCTGCTGGTTCACTCCCTAAATGGCTGCAATAGCAGGAGCTGGCTTCCTTTGGGTCTCCCACGTGGGTGCAGGGGCCCAAGGACTTGGGCCATCTTCCACTGTTTTCCCAGGCCACAGCAGAGAGCTAGATTGGAAGTGGAGCCACCGGGACCCGCACCAGCACCCATATGGGATGCCAGCACTACCAGTGCTGCTCTACCTGCTATGCCACAGCGCTGGCCCTAAACTATATTCTTAAGGAATGCATTTTGTAATTTCATGATGAATTTAATCAGGCTTACTAAAAATACTAATAAATCACAGAAGTAACTCCTCAGATATCATGAGAAAGTAGTGATAATACAGTTTATGGTTGTATGGCATCAACATGACAGATGTTGAGTATATTTAGAATTTAGAAATATTAATCTGTACTTGATTGAATGTTATATTCAGTTTCTCAGGAAATGTTCTTCCACTTTTTCTTCCTATAAGGAATACGTCTTTATTATATATATCTGAACTGAAAGTTTTTGCAGAAACATTAAAACATAAGTAATGTAGAAAGCCTTCATTGGTTTTTCTAATTTGATTCTTTTTTTTTTTTTTTCAGAAAGCACAAACATGTCAACAGAGACTAGATAGAGAAATTTCCAACTTTCTCAAAATGATTAAGGAATGTGACATGGCTAAAGGTAAAAAAAAAAATGAATAAATGTTGAAATAAACACTACCCAAAGAAATCACTGTTTTAACACAACCCATTATCACCACTATCATAGGTGTTGTCACTTTGTGGTCTTTTTTGACTATATGTTTTAAATAATTTTTAGTTTTAAATTCACAATTGCATTTGCTGAAACTATTTGGAAATTCTAAAAAGGCCATTTAAAATTTCTGCTCACTGAGGATGCTCATTGTATTGATATTTTTATTCTTTTAAGAAAAAGGAAAGTTTTAAGTTACTATTTTGGGATTTTAAGTTCATTTTTCTACATACTGAGAATTTTGCTTAAGAATTCCATAAAATGTGGATTTTGGAGTTAGACTACCTATAGCTTGAGCTCATAGACTGTCACTTGCAAGTTATCATTCTAAATAGCACCTTTACTTTTCTTAGGGTCAATTATCCCATCCCCGTTTAATAGGATGCTGACTGTGTGTTTGTCATCAATAGAAAGAATGCTCTTGCTATACTGAATTTGCTTGAGGTTTTCATCATGGAAAGCTGTTGTAGTTTATCAAATGCTTTCTCTGCATGTATTGAGATAATCATATGGTTTTTACTCTTCAATCTGTTAATGTGATATATCACTTTTATTGATTTGTGAATGTTGAACCATCCCTGCATATCAAGGATAAATCCCACTTGGTCTGGGGGAATGATCTTTCTGATGTATTGTTGCACTTGATTAGCTAATTTTTTTTTTTTTTGACAGGCAGAGTGGACAGTGAGAGAGAGAGACAGAGAGAAAGGTCTTCCTTTTTGCTGTTGGTTCACCCTCCAATGGCCGCTGCGGCCAGTGCACCGCGCTGATCTGATGGCAGGAGCCAGGTGCTTCTCCTGGTCTCCCATGGGGTGTAGGGCCCAAGTACTTGGGCCATCCTCCACTGCACTCCCTGGCCACAGCAGAGAGCTGGCCTGGAAGAGGGGCAACCAGGACAGAATCCTGCGCCCCGACCGGGACTAGAACCCGGTGTGCTGGCGCTACAAGGCGAAGGATTAGCCTAGTGAGCTGCGGCGCTGGCTTTTTTTTTTTTTTTTTTTTTTTTGACAGAGTGGACAGTGAGAGAGACAGAGAGAAAGGTCGCTAATATTTTGTTAAGGATTTTTGCATCTATGTTCATCAGGAATATTGGTCTATAATTCTCTTTCTCTGTTGGATCTTCTAACTTAGGAATTAAGATGATGCCTCATAGAACAAGTTTGGGAAGATTCCCTCCTTTTCAATTGTTTTGAATAGCTTAAGAAGAATTTGAAGTAGTTTTTTAGATGTCTGATAGAATTCAGCAGTGAAGCCATCTGGTCCTGGGATTTCTTTGTTGGAGGGCCTTTATTACTCCATCTTGGTTATTGTTATTGATCTGTTTAAGTCTTCTGTGTCTTGATGACTCAATTTTGGTAGATTGTATGTGTCCAGGAATTTATCCGTTTCTTCTAGATTTTCCAATTTGTTGGCATGTAACTCTTTGTAGTAATTCTTGATGATTCTTTTTATTTCTGTGGTATCTGTCATTACATTTCCTTTTTCATCTCTGATTTTATTAATTTGAACCTTCTCTATTTTTTGGCTAGTGGCCAAAAAGTGGTGTATCAATTTTGTTTTTTCAAAGAACCAGTTTTTTCATTTCACTGATCTTTTGTATTTTTGGCTTCAGTTTTGTTTATTTCTTCACTAATTTTAATTATTTCTTTCCTCCTACTAATTTTGGGTTTGGTTTGTTGTTATTTTTCTAGGTCTTTGAGATATATTAAAGCTCATTTATTAATGCCATTGCAGTTTCTTGATGTAGGTACCAATTGCTGTAAACTTCCTTTTTAACACTGCTTTTGTTGTATCTCATAACTTTTGATATGTTATATTGTCATCTTCACTTTTTTCTACAAATTCTTTGATTTCCCTTTTGATTTTTTTCTGTGACCCACTGTTCATTCAGGAGCATGTTGTTAAGTCTCCATGCATTTGCATATATTCTAGAGATTCTTGAGCTATTAATTTCCAGCTTAATTCTATTGTGGTCAGAAAATATATATGGTATGATTTTTTTTGATTGATTGAGACTTGCTTTATGGTCTACCTTATGGTCTCTCCTACAGAAAGTTCCATGCACTGATGAGAAGAATGTGTATTCTGTGACTGTGGGATGAAATGTTCTGCAAATACCAGTTAGGTCCATTTGGTTCAAAGTGTAGATTAACCTTGTTATTCCTATGTTGACTTGTTCATTTATGAAAGTGGGGTGTTTAAAGTCCCCTATTACTATTGTATTGGAGTCTATGTCTCCCTTTAGATACATTAACATTTACTTTAAATAGTGAGGTGCCTTAGCATTGGATGTATATACATTTACTATAGTCATGTCTTCCTATTGAATTGATCTCTTAATCATTATATAGTGCTCTACTGTCTCTTTTTGTTGTTGTTGTTGTTGTTGACAGGCAGAGTTAGTGAGAGAGAGAGGCAGTGAGAAAGGTCTTCCTTTTTCCGTTGGTTCACCCCCCAAATGGCTGCTACGGCCGGTGTGCTGTGCCAATCCGAAGCCAGAAGCCAGGTGCTTCCTCCTGGTCTCCCATGCGAGTGCAGAACCCAAGCACTTGGACCGTCCTCCACTGCCTTCCGAGGCCACAGCAGAGAGCTGGACTGGAAGAAGAGCACCTGGGTAGAATCCAGCGCCCCAACCAGGATTAGAACCCGAGGTGCTGGAGCCGCAGGCGGAGGATTAGCCAAGTGAGCCGTGGCACTGGCCCTACTCTGTCTCTTTGAACAATTTGCATGTTAAATTCTACTTTGTCTGATATTAGGATGGCTATGCCTGCTTGTTTTTGTTTTCTGTTAGCATGGAATATCATTTTCCATCCTTTCACTTTCAGTCTGTGTGTATTTTTGTTGATGAGATGTGTTTATTGTTTGCAGCATATAGTTGAGTCTTGTTTTTTTAATCCAGTTTGCTAGTCTATCTTTTAATGGAAGAATTTAGGCCATTTATAGTCAAGATTACTATTTTTTTTTTTAAATTTTTTGACAGGCAGAGTGGACAGTGAGAGAGAGAGACAGAGAGACAGAGAGAAAGGTCTTCCTTTGCCGTTGGTTCACCCTCCAATGGCCGGCATGCTGCGACCGGTGCACCACGTTGATCTGATGGCAGGAGCCAGGTACTTATCCTGGTCTCCCATGGGGTGCAGGGCCCAAGCACTTGGGCCGTCCTCCACTGCACTCCCGGGCCACAGCAGAGAGCTGGCCTGGAAGAGGGGCAACCGGGACAGAATCCGGCGCCCCGACCGGGACTAGAACCCGGTGTGCTGGCGCCGCAGGGCGGAGGATTAGCCTAATGAGCCGCGGCGCCGGCCAAGATTACTATTGATAAGTGATGACTTAGCCCTGTAATTTTTCGTTAAATATTCCTATTATTTGCTTTGGATTTCCGTTGAACTTTTACTGTGAGATTTTTTGCCTTCACCTTCTTTCATAATGAGAACTGTGTTTTTGTGTGCAGCACATCTTTAAGCATCTTTTGAAAGGCTGGACAAGTGGTGACAAATTCTTTTAATTTCTGTTTGCTGTGGAAGGTCTTTACTTCACCTTCATTCATAACTGAGAGGTTTGCAGCATACAGTATTCTGGGTTGACAGTTTTTTCTCTTTAAGACTTGAACTGTGTCTCTCCATTCTCTCCCATCCTATATGGATTCTGATGAGAAATCAGCTGTGAATTTAATGGGAGATCCTCTGAAAGTTCTAATGTTTTTCGCATGCACATTTTAGAATCTTTTCTTTATGCTTTACTGTTAAAAGTTTGACTACAATGTGTTGTGGTAAAGATCTTTTCCGTTCATCTATATCAGGAATTCTGTGTGCCTCATGTACTTTGATGTCCCTTACTTTCTCAAAATTGGGGATGTTTTCTGTAATTATTTCACAGACTAGGCCTTCTAATCCATTCTCTTTCTACACCTTCAGGAACTTCTAAGACCTGTATGTTGGGTCATCCGATAATATCCCATAAATCTCCAACACTGTTTTTTATTTTTCTAATTTCTCCTTCCTTTTTTAGTCTGATTGAAATTTCCAAAGATTTGTCTTCTAGCTTGGATATTGTTTCTTCTTCCTCACCAAGTCTGTTGTTAAGGCTTTTCACTGTATTTCTTACTTTACATATTGAATTCTTCATTTCTAGTATTTCAGTTTGATTTCTTTTCAAAAATCTCAATCTCATGGGAAAATTTTTCATCCATTTCATGTAGGGATTTCTTTAACTCTTCAATTTGCTTCTCATTGCTTCTGAGTAATTCTATGATTAATCTTTTGATTTCCTTTTCAGGCATTTCATCAATCTCTTTGTCTTCACATTCGAATATTGAAGTGTTTCTGTATTCCTTTAGGAAGTCATGTTGTCTTCCTTATTTCTTGACTTTCTGCTTTTTTAAAGTCATTCTTTTGGAAATACTTGTTGCTTTTCTTCTCTGATGGCTTTTACTTTTGAACTGTACCTCTGTGGATTAGCAGAATATCTGCTCTTTTGGTGAATACCCATACCTAGGTGTGGCCAGGGAGCTCTGGTCAGTGATTGGGGGGACAGGATGGGGATTGTATCCAGGGTGATACCCAAGTTGGATGTGGTACATCTCCTATATTGTCAGCAGGGGGCAGGGTGTGAATGCTTTTGTTGGCATAATCACATCCTCACCACCTCTTTACCAAGATGATCAATGCCCTCAGTTAGACCACACTGGGGGCAAGACTTACCTGTGCTGCTGCATGAACCTCACAAGGAACTGTGCAATTCTCATGTGACCATAGATCCTGCTACAGTGACCAACCTGGCAGTCAGGGACCTCTGAGCCTCTGCTGCCACACTCAGTGATTGCCCAGAGACCCAGCTACACCCTGTGCCCTTTGTGCAGTCAGCATGTTCCCACAGTCACAGGGTGCATAGGATTCACTCTGCCCCAATAACCTGTCCCATCCAGGGGGAGG